TTGGAAACTGGGTAAGTTATGATTATAGTGATGCTTTGATTCCTACTTGTAGAAATCTTAGGCTGGGGACATGGAGAAATCAATTAGTGGCAAGGCAAGATTGTGGTATTCTGAGTTCTTGGGGGTTATGTCAGCACAGGCTTTTAGTGCTCTTTGGTCATCCTAAGGGACTGTCAGGGGAGGGAGGGCTACCTGGTTCATGATACTCTTGCCCTCGTAGTTCAGCTCCTTTCTTTCGGACTTTGGACCAGATGTCTGTTTTCTTCAGGACAGAGTATGGTGAGGTCCAGATGGTGCCAACTTTATCTGCATCCAACAGAGAGGAATATGCCAGGGCAGTGAAGGTACAGAAATGTGGCCAAAGCTTAAAAGAATTAGATATGGCACCAGGTGTGACAGGCAGTTCTAAGATGCCTCGATGATCCTTCATGATCTGTGTCTGATATTCTTGAGTGACTTCTAATATTCTTGTATAATTTCCTTGGTCTGAGTGAGAGTTGAATGTTTTGAGTCATTTCAAGTGAAAAGAATATGGCAAAAGTGGTGAGGCATCACTTCCGAGATTGTGACACCAAAAGACTGTGACTTCTGTCTTATGCATTCTCATTTGCTTGCTCCACGGGAAGCCAGTTACTATGCTGTGTGTCCTGTGAAGTCCGCATGGCAAAGTATTGATGTCTGTGACCATCAGCAAGTTAGGACTCAAGGAATGCTGACCACCACAAGCATGATCTTGAAGTGAATCCTTCCACAGACAAGTCTTGGGATGACTGCAGCCCTGGATAATACCTTGCTTCCAGCCTGTGTGATAATTTGGGCTAGAGATACCCAGAAAGTCTGCACCCAGATTCTTAAGCAACAGAAAATGTGAGTTATTTTAAGCTATGAAGATTTGGGGGTGGTTTGTTATGCAGCAATAGATTACTAATACAGTGAGTTTCTCTGTCTTTCCTAAGGAACCTACCATGGCCTGCTTCCATGGTGCCCAAAGCTCTAGTTGTATAGGGAATGATCAAACTGAAAACAAGGATTGGGGCAGAATTGAATGTTAGATGAGAGACCGGCCTCACCTGCTCTTGACTTTTGATCCTCCAGTCTTAGGCTGTGTTCTTGATCTCCTTTGAGCACTTCTGTGAGGCTCTTCAAGAATGGGATTAACATGGGGCAGGCAGCAGCCTGGTCCCTGAAAGTAGTGACTGTTCCATAGAATCGGTCCCCGGGATAATTCTCCAAACATACGGGAGTTCCTGAGGCCATAATCTGGGATGAAATAATCAGAACTGAATTCCATGCTTGGTTTCCCTAGCCTGTAAGGCTGCTTTTGGAGTTTCTCTTGAAGCCCTGGTCAATAGTGGAAACATAGATCTTACTGACAGTCCAGAGGTTGGTACCTGTGTGTGCAAGAACTGAAGGCGGCTCAGCTCCCGTTGGTACTGCAGCCGACCACGGGCCCTGTCCAGAATGTTCTGCCTCTCTCTCACCATCTTCTTAAACTCATCAGAAAGATGCTGGACTACCTGGAACACAGGAAACATAATGCCTGAGTTAAAACGGAATGTCTTTATCTTTCCTCCTCCTTCCCTCTTAACCCCTCTAATTTAGGTCAGCCACCCTGAAAATGACGTGGCCTTGAAGAGGAACACAGTGGTAGGGGAGAGTATGTGCATCCCATAGGGTTCCCTTGTCGGCGTCAGTCTTACCTTCCTGGGACGGTTCCAGATTTGTGGGTTCTGATTCCTACCCTGCTGCAGCCACATCTCTTCCTCCTGGCCCTGTTGCCAGAGAGATGCTTGCCTGAGCTTTTCTGCTGCTTGCTCTATACTCTGCAGGACCTTCTGCACGCCCAGGGCCACCTGTGCCTCCTCTTTCCACTCTCCTCTGTCTGCTGCAAAGTGTGGAGAAAAAGGGCACCACTGGGGTGGGGAGAGGAAAACACAAGTGAATTGGGGCGCCAGACCTGCCAGGTGTGTTTGGGCCTGGCCAGGAGCGTGGGGGAGAGGAGAGCCTTTGAGGGTGAGAATGGCCCCGCCCCACCCTCAGTGTGGGTAGCTGTGGCTGGTGGCGTTGTTCCTGGCAGGTGCCTGCTGTGGGGACCTGGACCTAGCAGGTGCTTTCCCACCTCGAGAGAGCAGGCCCCGCTCTCGAGTGCCGAGCACGCTCAGGGTTCTGGCTCTCCGCTGTGCCTCTTGCAGGCAGCAGTCCTCCAGGGCTGCACAGGCCTCCTTGGCAGCCTTCAGCTACATGGGACAGAATGTGTAAAGGAATGAGCCGTGAAGGGAAGGCAGGAGCTCTGCGCGGGGTCACCTCGTGTTGGTCTCTCCTACTCTTCCTCCATGCTGCTAAAGCTCGGGAGTTGTCCAGTATCTAGAGCCCAGGCCTTGGGCTCTAGGGCTGTGTCTTCCCTGACAGGCATTTTATCCTTGTGGCTGGGGTGAAGACAAAAGCTCTGAACATTCAAAGAGAAACCTGTGGCAGTCTTGGAAAGCTGATGGGGACCATGAGGTGCCGTGAAGTCTTCCCTGCATTCTCTCTCCTTCATGTGATTGGGATGCCATTCTGTGAGTTCCCTTACCACGTGTGGACCTGGGACCTGGGCCCTCACCTGAAGCCTGATGTTGTTTCCTGGAGTGTGGAGGTCCTGGCTCAGGTGCACTAGGTACTCCACTAGGCGGTCCTCCTCCCGTTCCTGCTGGTGCCAGTACTGTTGTCGGGCTCTCAGCTCCTGCTCCAGGAGGTCCCACTGTAATGTCCAGCTTGTTTAAGCTTTGCTCAGACTACGCACATGATTAGCTCCCCATGATCTTGAAGCTTCTCAAATACCCCTGAGTGCCCATGGCTAAGCTTGGAGAAGCAGGTGACTTGGTTGCAGACAGGCACATAATAATCACAGAGCACCTTCAAGCTCCCTGGTCCTTCGCTTCTCATATCTGACCCTTCCAGAATCCTCCGTGCCTCCTGCCCCTAACTTTCTCTGGGGACACCAGGGTTGATGGGCATGTGATGGTGGGCAATAGTTTTCAATCTCTCACTTGATTCCTTTATATCAATTTTTGAGACAATAGTGACAGGGCTCAAACTGAAATTTCTTTGCGTCTAACAAGAATCTCTTACCACATATTCATCTTGGTCTCCCAAACTATAATTAGATTTACAATATATTGTAAGACCCTGAATCATTTTTATTTTGATGGGGATCTGCCAAGCGTGGAATTATTGCCGTAATCTCCTGATGGGGCTTCCTGCTCTGCTCTGGCTTGCTTCTGTCTGTCTTCTGCCAGAGGGAATTTGTAGAATGCTGATTATACATAAACACAAAAATGTCTGGAAGGAGATGTGCCAGCCTGTTAATAGTATCCGAGTCTGGTGGGGAAGACTGGCAGAGAGGCCAGTAGTGTCTTGATTGGTGGATACTATGGGGCCATTGGTGGTGGACAGAGGGGCACTAGCAGGGAGGGGGCCCTTATTTATTCATTTACATACTTTAAAAGTGTAGTGGGCTTATGAATAATTTTTGTGTTGTTTCATATTTCCCAAATTTAAATCCTTCAATCTTAATAGCTGACCATAGGTCTACTTAGAATTCTTCAGTGGCTCTGAGTGGCATTCATGATCGAAGTCATGTTTCCTGGCCTCGAAGCACAAAGGTGGTCATTTGTGATTCATTTCTTGCCTTCCTCACTGTGCTCTCTGCCCCCTCTGAAACTCCATCTTCCTCATTTTTCTGGAAGTGTCATACCTGGTACCTTTGCACTTGCCGTCCCAAGGCTTTCGTAGCTTTCTCTGCCTCTGTCTTCAAGTTGTAGCCTAAGCACTGTCTCTTTGGAAGCCTTCCTTGAACTCTCCTTCATGGATCGGGATGCCCATCCTCTGAGTTTTCTCAGTACCTTTCAAACTACAGTTGGTTGGAGCTTATGGCTAGCTAGTTCCCTCAGGACGGGAGCTCTGTCTAGTGGTCTTAGTATCTCAACTCCTGTCACATGATCTGAATCCCAAGAGGCTCTCAATATGTAGTTGCTGAATAAGTAAATAGAATAAAGTCATCCTACATACCAGACCAGGGTCTCTCATTCCTCGAGGTAAGGTCTCCAGCACCTGTACCTCAGGCACCACCACACTGCTGAAGGGATCCACTTGAGCACCAATGACAGGACCATGTTCTCCAGTCAAGGGGTCTAGGGCTGGAGCCCCAATTGAGATTGGGACAAGACCTGTGGGATATGAAGCTTTTGTAACTAGAGTTGGGATAAGAAAGGAAGGGGTGGGTATGGCAAGAAGGAAACCTGGCAGGAAGGGGATCAAAGAAGACTTTAGACCTTCACCCCTGTGAGCTCTTGAGTAGGGGTTTCCTGATGCCACAGACCCTGGGGCTGGGGTGGGTAATGAGTTTTTTTTTTTTACCAGGACCAGGGATCGAACTCATGACCAAGCACTTGCAAGGCAGGTGCTTATGCCGCTGAGCTAAATCCCCAGCCCCATCTCCATTGCTGGACTTTTTTTATTTTTTTGTGTCGTGCTAGTTTTTTAAAGGGCCCAGTGTTCTCAGGGAGGATAAATGATCTGTGGCCCTGGCATTTGAGGGTCTCTGGGAATCTGTACTTTGACTCTCAGCAGTCCTAGAAGAAGGCTCAGAATGACTCTGTCCCTTGGCTGATGACAGAATGGACCCCCGAACTGTAAAGGGTTTGCCTTCTCAGGAAAAAACCCCTTAAACCTTCAGAGGTTCTGAGTTTCCTCCTACCTTTACCATCAGCGTCTTCCATTGAGCCTGCCAGGGGTGTGGCGCTACCAGAACTCGCATCTTGCTGCATACCCAGGATGGGCACCATGAGTCCCGAGCCAGCGGGGTCTGGGATCTCCATCCCATACAGGGCTGGGACCCACACCTCTGTCCCAGGATAGCACATCGTTCCTGACAGAGAGGGGAAGGCAGGAGACGGGAGCTGAAGGCTAAGCCAAGCCACCTGGGTTTTTCTATGCTCAGAGTATCTCTTTCCTGACAGGCTACTCTGTGGAGATCGTGTTGGTTTCCTGAGGACACAACCTACATTTTGAATTCAAAAGGGAAGGAGGGATGACTCCGATGGAGGAGCAAGTGAGAGCTGAGTGGCAGCAGAGCCCTTGGGAAGCTGAGGACAGTTTCCAGAGCACACTGAAAAGCAGGAGGAGGCTCATCCTGGACTCATGTGTTAGAATATCAGCAAAGGACTCCATATAAGTCATAACTTATCAAGGTGCACATTTTACCCTCATTTTAAAGTTGGCAGTACAGTGGCAGAGAGGTTATTAAGTCCCAGATGGCCAAAGTTAATACGCAGTAGGCTATGTCTTTAAACCCAAGTCAGTGCTGCCCCCAAACCCTACTTCTTTGTATGTTCACACCATGGGCAGAAGGAAGCTTCTAGAAAGAGGGAGATAAGCATCAGGAAGATGTCACTCCCGTTTCCTTTTCCTGCTTCTCCTTGTATAAGCATTGTGGGTGAGTTGGAGGACTTGGCTGGACTCTTTTCCTGAGTTTTTGAGTGGGATGTGAAAGATTGTTATGGGAAGTTGAGGATTTGAGAGATTCTAGGTGGCTTTAGGACTAACTTTGCAGCTAACTAGGCTGGAGGACCGTGGCTAGGCAAATCACTTAACTCTGAACTTCAGGTCCCCACTATAAAACGGTTGTCATGCTGCCTGCTATGGTGTTTGATGATCCTAGGAAATAATAAGGGAATGTATACTCTCTAAAAAGTGTAAGACCTAATGGAGTTGGCAAGAGATTGGAAGACAGGATACAGCCAAGTACTCCAGGGGACGGGGCACAGAATCATGGAGTGTCTTCTCTAGTCCATCCGTCACACATAGGCATGACCAATGGAGCTGCAGTCCTAACCCTGAATGGATTAGCTGAGGTGCACTGAAATGCCAGCTCATTCTGGGTCTGAGATTTCAGGCCTTGAGAGTTCTTGTCCCAGATCAGTACATACCCATCCTGCCACCACTGGCTTCGATGCCACATGCTGCCTCTAGCTGTCTGGCCAGTCTCTGAGCCTGCTGCAGGATATGATGCAGACTCAAGGCCAGTGCCTGCCTCATGTCTTTGATGGCAGCCTCCAGGGGCCCCTGGGCCCTCCCCCCTGGATTCTGCTGCCACCGCTGGAGCACTGTGATCACTCGTCTCTGGGCCACCAGCACATTGGCATCCAGCAGGGCCTGTGACCCTCCCGTACAGGGCAATGTCCGGCCCTCCTGTTGTGATGCCCCTTGGAGCCGGACTGTCTTCCTGCTCAGTGGCTCCACAAAGGGGTCACCAGGCAGCATAAGGTTCCCAGAAGTATCTCGAAGCCCTCCCAGTGGAAGCACTTGACCTGAAAGCAAGAAATCCGGAGGGCAACATGAGAAAGGGACCACTGGCATACAGATAAGTGAGGGGTAGTAGAGAGCAAAGGCACCACGGGGAGTGAGTCACAAGGCCGACCGGGCAGAGGGTGGGGGGTGGGGAGTGCGCTGTGCTGGCGGCGAGGAAGGGCCCTCCTGCTCACTTTACTTAGGTCACCTGCTTCTCTTTTTTCCCCCTAGGGTCACTGGAGTAGAAGTGAGCAAGACAGGGGGCCTGAGAAGGGGAAGGAGAGTTGGGGTCACATACACAGGAGAGGTTCTGAGTGGGAGGAGGAGGTGGGGCAGGGTTTGCAGTTTGGACTAGAACATGGGCACTCAGAGAGAGGGATTGGAAAGCCAGGCGGGGAGGAGAGCGCAGGAGGACAGCACCGAGGGCTGTCAGAGGACCTGTATTTTCATCCAAGCCAACTCCAAGGATTGGTGAGATGCTTCCTGTGACAGGATCCTCCATAGGCCCTCCCAGTTCAAGAGGGGCCAGTGTTTTGGTGAGGGGATTGTAGTATGTTCCCCCAAGGGTAAGCCACTGCCTTGTTTGGGGATGCAGAGTCACAGCTAGCACAGGCACCTCAATGCCCGTTCTGGGATCAGTCATGAGAGCCCCCAGTTGTGATGTCCTCTGTGGCTGCAGGATGGGCAGGTCTAGGGCTGGAAGAGAACCTGTGTAGGAGCGAGTTGGGTAGGGCACATAGGGAAGGATGGCAGCTTCTGATGTTCGGATGCCACCTGGACAAGGAGACGGGGAGGTGTTAGTACCCCTTCAAACAGCAGCCTCCCCTTCCTTGACTGCAGATTTGCGTATAGAGGTCACTGACCATGTCTTTGCAGTCATGGGACCCTTGATATCCATAAGGAACATTAAGGTGAGGAGGAGGAGAAAGTATTTACTGCTCCAAGCCCCATTGTCTAAGGACAGAAGCCTCTTCCTAAGGAGTTCACTACTGAGTACCTCAGGGAGCTCTGCCCCACCTCTGAAGCCCAAAGTGAGGTGTGCAAGGTCTCACCAGTGTTAGAGTCAGTAGTAGGCACCAAGCTAGCACTTAGCATATCGTATCCCAAGTGTCCAGCCTCAGGCAGTACATGCCCAGTGTCAGGGTGGATGAAGTAGCCAGGAGGTATGGGCCCTGCATGGCCACTGCCTAGAAGCATCTCACAGTTGGGGCCAGGGACCAGCAACCTGGTGACCGGATTCATTTTGATGTCATCACTGCCGCCTTGAGCGTCTTCCAGGTCTGTAGAAAGCAAACAGTTGGCTGAGTCCTGGCTCTGAGGTGAATAGGACAGGATGGTGGTGGTGGTGGGGTGGGACAGGGCTTGGATACTAAAAATTCCACCCTAAGCCCACAGATGCACATCTTTCCAGGGCAGGAGTCTCGTCTTTGCAGAGTTCAGGACAGGGTTCCACATGGGACATTCCTATGTAATATTTTCAGATTGCAGGCTGGCAGACTGAAAGGGACTTGGGAAATGGTAGCAGCCTTTAGGGCAGTGAGGTAGGTCTAGGGATTCCCAGAACTCAGTACATTTGCACGTCCTCTGGGGGACATTTTGCAGCCAAGTCCAACATTTCTCAAACCTGATCACTGGGATTTATTAGCCAAGCTTTTACTTTCAGGAAATGCTGCCTCAGCTGCAAAGCTATAATTTATTATGGTTTTGTTTATTGTCTCATTTCTTCCCGTTTCTGAGGTTCTTTTTTTTTCATTTTTTTTGGGTGTGTGTGTGTGCAAGGCTGGCTAAACCCCGTCCCCTGACCCACTTTGTGCACACAGGTAGAACTGGGGGTAGAACTTGAGTTTTGTAGGGTTTGTCACCCTCTGGGCACTGTTAGGTTTCCAGGGTCCCTGGCTGTGGCTGAGTAGGGCTCACCTGGCCTCAGCAGCTCTGCTCCAATGCCGGTGCCTAGGAAGCCCCAGGCTTTTAGGCGGTAGCCCTCCTGCAGCAATGCCTGGGACAGATGGTCCAGCACGGTGTCCATCTGGGGAACCACACTGCAGGGGCACAGCATAGGGTCCATTAGGGCTCAGGGGCAATTAGGGAGGGGAAATGAACACTTTTGTGTGACCAATTCTGGGGTCTCCCCTGCTGCCAACCACACTCACTTTCCTTGATTTGTATCTTTCTAATCCCAGCGCACGTTAACTAGGTACACACCCTTCATGATTCTGCCTGTCCTGGGAGGAGGTCTGTGGCCCGGAGCCTGTCCATGCCTTCAGCAGCCGCTTAGCCTCCTCCAGCACTGAGCAGAAGGAGGCCCATTGCTCCTGCCTGGCCCGGAGGTCTTGGTGAAGGGTCTTCAGCTGATGACTAAGGCTTGCTGCGTACTCAGTTGCGAGGTGTGCCCTCCGCCTGGCCTCTTCCTCTGCTGCCCTGGCAAAAGCCTCAGCAACCTGGGTCAGAGACAGTCCTGCCTCTTCACCTGAAGCCCTGTAGCCAGCAGAAGCATCAGCCTCTGGGGCGGGACACCCAGCTTCCCCTGGAAATGCCCGAGTATTCTGGGGAAGAGTAGCTCATCAGTGGTAGCAAAAGGAATTGCCAGGGATGGTAGTGAGGGCTTTAGCTAAACACCCTCAGGCCAGTTAGGGCAGGGCGGGTGGGTGGGCTGGGGGGTGCTAAGGAAGGGCTCTGGCTCCTGTAGGGGAGGTGGGAAGGTGTGAGCAAAGCCAACCTCTTCCTGTCTCTTCTGCATGCTCCCTGGGTGTTGGTCAGCAGAGGCTGTGATTCCATGCTGAATGCCCCATAGCTGCTTCAGGGAACGGGCTTCGTCCAGGAGTTTGAGGTAGAAGACTTTGAGCTACGAGAGAGGTGGATTTAGCCTATGAACTCTGAGATAGTGTCACCTTAGAATTTTACTCCTGGGATTGCAGTGCCCCCTACTGCCAATCGCTGGAGAGACTGCAGAGAGCCAACTATTGCCCAGGACATTTGGAATGAATGGAAAAAGATCATCCTGGCACAGGGGATTTAGCTCAGCAGGCATAAGTACCTGCCTTGTAAGTGTACGGTTGTGAATGTGATCCCTGGTACCAATAAAAAAGAAAGAAAGAAGGAAAAAGATCCTCTGAGGTCCTGGTGCAGACTTCCCAAGCAAACCCCTGGCCCAGTTTTGATACTTGGACTTCTTGTGCATTGTCTTTGTTTGCAACGCCTGTCACATACTGGCATGAATGTGCTTATGTAGGTGGCCACCAAGGGCCAGGGATAGAAATCTAAGAAGAGACTCCAGAGGTGGTCTTGATAGTTTTCCCGCCATTAAGCCAAGGCCCTAGGTTTCACAAGCTCGGACCTAGATTTAATCTGAAACCTTCCTTCTCCTTGCCCATAGAATTTCCTTTTTTTCTAATTCCTTATTGATCGATCAAAGATTTCTTTAGGCTCTCTGTCTTATAACCACCTCTCCCAAAAATGAACCCTATGCCTAGCGCCATTTATTTCTTCAACCTTGGCGGGAAGAGAGGCTTGCTGGTTACCTCCTCCTTATTCTGGCTGAGTTTGGTTGTCACTGCCAGAGACTGCCGGAGGAGGATTCCAAAGAAGGCTTCTGTGTCAAACCACTCCAGGTCTACCTGCTTCTCAGCCTCCCAATTCCCACCTGTGGAGGGATGGGAGACAAGGTTATCTTCCCAAAATACAACTCTTCATAGATGATCAGTAGTGTACACTCAGTCTAATTACTAATGGCGGAGCCCTTGGAGGAGCAGCATTAGCATTGTTTAGGAAAGTTTTGGAAATGCAGAGTGTCGGTCCACATCCCAGTCCCCCAGGAGATTCATATGCAATTAAAATTCTAGAAAAACAAGCTAATTCCAGTACTGCTATCGAGAGCCATACTCTGAGAAGCAAAGGTGCACTGTGAAAGTCAGCATGACATACACAACTTATTCCTCTAGATAGTAGTAGTTGTTTCTTAACTTGGACATTTTTTACCTGGTTTTGTTATTTTCATTTGGAAAGTCTGTATTTAGATGTTTCCTTCCCCTTCTACATTGTGTATGCCTGATAGCATCTACATATAGCCACTCAATAAATCTGTACTGACCACTCAAATGAATGAATAGATTGGAATTTAACAGAAGATGAGAAATGAAGTGGGAGCTGGCCAGTTCCATTGGGCTGGGGAGCAGCGCTGGGGTTCTAGTCCAGGCTTGTCACTCACCACGACCTCCCTCATCTCTGGGAGCGTCACAGTCTTGCTGAGATTGGCCTCTCCTCACTGACATCACTCCAGTTCTTGGGGTCGCGTATGCATCAAGGTTGTATCCTTGTTGGTGGTTCCTGTAGGCTGGGTGAGGAGCGGCCTTCCGAGCCCAGCTGAGGCTGTGACACTGAAGCTGTGGGGGTCACAGTAAGGAAAGGGAGCATAGGGAGAGGCATCCTTCTGAAGACTCTGAAAGGAGCGGACTTCTATTCATCTGTAGTTAGCCAGCACCTCACTGACTCTGCTGGACCACTGGGAAGGCCTTGTTCTCTGCAGCTTCGCTTCTCTGAGCCATCTCTATCCATTACCCTCTTGCTTGAGTCCCCACCAGGCGTTTTTACCTGTTCAAAATTCTTATCCACTGCTTAGAGCGTAAATCCAAACTCCTTGGCAGAGCTCATAAGATCATCCATAATTCAGGGTAGAGAGACAGATTGCCCACGCCTCATCCTAGCCTCCAGGCCTGGAGTATCAGGTTGGTTCCCTGAGCAGGTGACTGGTATCTCATGCTCTGTGACTTTGCTGTCATGCAGTCACCTCTGAGTATCAGTAGGGACTGGTTCCAGGACTCTGTGGATACCAGATGCTCTGGGTGCTCAAGTTCCTTATGCAAAATTGATGTATTCTTTGGATATTTCATTTGTAGGTAACCTATGTACGTATTGCAGTAAACCATCTTTAGATTACTTATACTGCTTATTTCAATGGAACTGTTATGTAACCAGTTGTTATGCTGTTATTTATGGAATAATGACATGTTCAGTGCAAATGTTATTTTTTAATCTGGCTGGTTG